GACTCGATTACAGTGTCATTCACGAAGTTAAAATTCTCGGGTGCAAAGTCCTTAGAAGCGGAGGAGGAAATTGAACTGGCCACGAGCATTTTATCAGAGCGTAGTGAATCAGACTGCCCGCGCAATTCTGAGCATGACATCAGTAAGTCCACATCAGTGATGGAGGAAAAGAGAGAAAATAGCAAAAACATTATAAGTGATAATTGAAAGGGGAAATCTATTGGATTAACGTGCTTCTCAAACGCCAGAATAAGCCAACGATCATTAGACAATTGTTTGCGAGTTTATTTAACGATACGATCAGAGGAACAGGCAAATATAAAGGATACGAAGAAAAGTTGGGTTTCGAGGAATCTCTTGTTTCATAATTGTTGGGCTTACTTCCATTTCGAGTACTATGAAGAAAAGTTGGGTTTCGAGGAATCTCTTGTTTCATAGTTGTTGGGATTACTTCCATTTCGAGTAGGTGAGCTGTGCAAATAAATATGAAGAAAAGTTAGGTTTCGAGGAATCTCTTGTTTCATAATTGTTGAGCTTACTTCCATTTCGAGTGAAAGTGTTTGGGGGACTTTCATTTCGTATGAAAGTGCATGAAGAAAATATTCGTAGGACGGCCTCACCAGAAGAGGACGGCTGAATCCCGTTGTACTGCAGACTTTTGGCTTTCATACAACGTTGACGCAGTCCACGAGACCTTTTCCCTCGTTTCTGGTGAAAACGGCTGAGCTTTCGTTCATCATACAATGGACATAATCAGAAATGGAACTCATTCTTGTAAGTCTTAAGTTAGCACTAGAGCAAGAAGACTATCCGGCTCTATCTCACGTCTTATATAGACACAATTAAACAAAAAAAAATTAAAAAACCTAGATAGATATAGAATGGTTCGCCTACGTATCTTTCATATTGACCCTGCTGCAACAACAATTTTATCTCAGGAGATTCATCGAGACCCAGTTTATCTTCGTATCTAAAATAAAAAGGAGTAGAGGGGGGGACTGACCAAGATAACTTTTATAATGCTCATTGGCTTCTGAGCATAATTATAGTGAATCCTCAATATAAACTGGCTTATATAAAATAATGCTACTTTAAATATATTATATAAATAAAAGGAACCCTAAACCCAAGCAAATTAAAATAAAAAAACCTAGATAGATATTTATGTATGCATCTTCATGTCTGAACGCAAACAGGCCATAACTCAGAGTAATTCGAAAGAAGCTTGGCGTCAGCCCCGTTTCATCCAAGCTTAATGGCCCAAGGAAAAAAGTATGACCAAGAGTGCATTAGTCCATAACTAAACCTGATTGAAATAAAGATATGTAAGATGTGAAGATCAAGATTTTGTGGCCTCGGGTATGGTCGCAGTCTCCTTTCGACTGATAGAGGTTGGTTGACCTTGTTGTAGCAACTTGGTCTTGTGTTCAGGGAGACTATGTAGAACGCACCGAGTCCGAAGTCGTCTGCCATA